TTTAACTCCAAACAGCCTGGTTCCTCCACGCCAGCCCTTTCCGGGCGTTCTTCCTGTCACTTTGACTCGCCGCTAACTTTCCACTCCTTCAACTTCTCTCTTTCCAGACTTTCCCTTTCCACAGGTTTCCCTCTAGTGCGTCTATCATAAACAAAGAAAGGGTAAAGTTCTGGGGAAGACAGTTTAGTCAGATCTGATTTACCGTTGTTCGGCTAGTCTCTCGCTTGCTTTGTCCAGCTGACAGCTTCAGCAGCCATTAAGGCCGTCTTCTTTCCGATCCGCTCGGTCCTGGGTTAGTCCGCCATCCCTCGTCAGTCGCCACCAACGACAGAGCAGCAGATCGCCCACACCTTCGGAAGCCCCCACAAGGCTTCTTTTGATTCTAAAGAACCCTGCGGACCTGGAACAAGCGTTCAGCGATGCTGGAAAAAACCTTCCACACCGCCGTTTGCTCTGACAGCTGGTCCCGCCCCCCCCCAACTTGAAAGGACTCTAGATTCATTGATCTCCCACTTTTCTCCAGCAGCTCAGCCAGGTTTACATGGGTATCTCCCTTCAAGTTATTTTTACAATAACTTGATAGGTTGGATAGGCTTAGAGGAAATGACTGGCCCTAACTGAAGGAGGACTTAAAGTGATCTTATTTTATTTATTTGTTTAGTTATTTAATCTGTATGGCCACCCATCTCACCTAATGCCTGGCTCACAACCATCCAATAAAACAAGTTAAAAACCAATACTGTTTCCGAATGTATAAAGCCATCAAGGATCTACTTATCATAAACCACTATTTTAAGCCCTCTATCACCACTGGCTCAAAAATACCTTTGGCGAAATAAATTTCTTAACTTAAATTGTGTTTAAGTAAAGGCTACTTTTCAATTCTTAAGGAATGAGGATGAAGCCAATGGGAGATTTAATTAACAGTGGATGCAGTTCATGTGATTACTATCCTGTATTTAATCATTTATTCTTTCACTAAAATAGCATAGTAAAATTAGTGCTAATGTTTTCAGGGCATTTAAAGCTTTAAGATGCCCTGGAGGAAGCCTCAAATCATTTTATGGTAGGTGAAAAGTCAATAGCAGGATTAAATTGAACCAGCAGGATCAGACATGGCTGCCTATAAGGTAAACTAGAAATCATTTTTTCTTCCTTTCCCACTACATGTAAACCTCAGTGTTATTTGCAGAAACAGAAACTAGCCTTCATTTTATCACTATACCACCTCCCTTGCTGAGGACCATGTAAATGTGTCCTTTTTAAGGTGGGTCTTGTCTGCAGTAAAGGTATTAGCTAGTTAGTTCCTCCAATCTGGCATGCTTCATTGGCAATTTTCAGGATACAAACATGCCCTGGCAAGCCTTTTTCTCATACAATATTCCCCATGAGGTCACCTCCATATCATCCCCAAACCTTGAAGGATTTAGACTTAGACTTTTGATTTTCTTCAGGAGCAGCTTCAAGGTATGCAAAATCTGACCAGCTTTGTCACCCCATCACTTGGAGGGACACAATGAGATTGCATGCATAAATAAATGTATTGGGGAAAAGGAATGACTCTGAGGGACGGGAGGCAGAGCTGCTACCAAGGCAATGGTCAGATAAAAGAAACCTGAGTCCAGTGCAGAACTATAACCTGACAAAAGTGTCTGAAAAAAGACACACACCCCCAAGATAAAGGGAGAAATGGGTGTTAGTGCATTCAGACTTGAAAGATTCTGTCACTACTATTGTATAACAAAAGAATCATTAGCCTGCATAATTGGTTTACCTTGAGTGCTAACAGTAACTATGACAACATAAGAATTGATAAGGTGGCAGCAACTTTCACCCTACTTGAGCTTTCTGCCAACTCAAGGTGTATGTTTGTGGGAGGGATATTTCAACTTGGCAAGGAGCAGGGGTATCCATGAGGTATGGTCAAGTTGCTATAGTATGATTGAAGCTTCCCATTTTTGTTGCACACAGAGAGGTAGAATTTTGATTGTACCTCAACATTTTTGACCATATCTTGCAGACACTCCTAGCTGTGTGAAAGGCTCCAAGTGGTCAAGAAAGAAGGAAGAAAATAGCATTTTTGAACCTCCCCAAGTTTTGAGAGTTGCCTATCCTGTTTACAATCCTTTTCTGTTAACAGTTAACATCCCAGTTCTTTTCATTAAGGGTTAAGTAGTTTAACAAAATGAAAAGTGATTATACAACACACTGAACAAGTGAACCCAATACGTTGTGAGAATCTTGTTTGCTTCTTTAGGTTCTGCTTCTCATATAAATGTAGAAAACTGCATATAAATGTAGAAAAATGTAGTAAAATCATGATTCAGTTAAGTATGGGTAACGATGTCATGCAAATACAGATTTTCTTTCTCTCCAAAGTAAAGGTAGCTGAGCTAGCCTTCAATAATACAGGTAGTTCTCAACTGATGAGAATTGGGACAAGAATTTTCCCTGAAGTTGTTGCAGTTGTAAGTTGAGACACCATGTAATTTTACAACAGGTGTAAATGAGACATGAAGGTTGTTAAGCAATTTTGGGTTCCTCAATAGGCATTTTTGCTGGAAATTGGTAAAAAATGTTGTGAATTGTGATCATGTGACTGTACAATATTGCAACCAGTAGTAAAAGTGAGCTGGTTGCCAAACTCCCAAATTGCAATCAGATGTTCGTGGGAGTGGAGTGATGTGACATTTCTGAGCATTATAAATGGGAGTAAAGGTTATTACTTTTTTCCAAGGCTGTTATAATTTTGAGCCATTGTTAAATGAATTATAAGTTGAGGACTACCTGAAGAGTATTATCTTTTTCATTTAATCTGTTTTGAGATCTTGTCTAAAAAACCCATTTTCCTAATAACTGTTCAAATATTCCTCCCTGTGCTCACAGAAGCTGTCATTTATATTTGGCCCTGAGACTTAATGATACAGATTTCATTGAATTAATTGCAGTTGATTTATACTCTGGATAACTGTTTTAAGTTCTCTACAGCATTATAGATTTATAGAACAGACTGTATATTTCATTCAAGAAAAAACCTAACCCTAAACAGAAGCTGAAACGTTGCATGATGAAAAATACCTTTTTAATGCTAAATACTTTATAAGTAAAATAATTGAGAAGAATATAATATCCTGTTATTTTTTGTTAACTTACCTCATATTGCCTGTTTAGAAGTTTTTAAGAAAGCTTGCTTCTCTGAAAATAATGGATTTTTCTTCCTGATTATTGGTCTGAAATGCTGTATTCCTTTGTTGCTACCCGCTTTTAACTTGTCACAAAGGGAAAGGAACAGTTTCATTGTCGTGTTCCTAGAAAAGGAAACTGAAAGTTGCTGTATTAGCCCACCCAGATGTAAGATCAGTTTTTATTTCTTCTAATCTTGCTGTGTTGTTTCAGTAAAGTAATTATAGAAGATTCAGCATTATTTTTCTGTAAAAATTTTTTTTTGTATTTGTTAAACAGCAATGCTAACAGTATGATGAGTGGATTCTCTTGTTCTTGAAAGCAATATGACCTACTTTTTCCATGTATATTGTGTTTAAACGCGAATTGTTGAAAGTTTCATTTGCATTGGCTTTGTATTGTTTTCCTAATGAAAACAATGAATGAATTACACACTAAGCTATGCCCAAGTCAAAATATGTATGAGCCGTGTTTTGTGGCTTGTAACCAGTTTATGGATTAGTGTGTTGTATGGAGCCTTGTTTGTAATTTTAAGTGCCATAGCTACACTACAAATTAGTGTGCTGTGGGAGTTAAGACAATTTTTAATGATAGTACATTAAAACATAATCCTAGGGTCTTCAACGTGCGGCTCCTTTTATTCCATTTGTTGACCAAATCTTGAACTGGCAAAGCCAAATACTGGATTTGTTTTTCCCTGGTATGAAATAGCCAATTTGTTACACAAAACAGAAAATTGCAGCCTGTTTAATCTGTACAGCACAAAGAGGTAGGGGCTTTGGGGCTTAAATCACAAACTAGGAGCACCCAATAACAAATTAGCATAGCTTATATACACTTGGAAAACAAAGGCTCCCATCTCCCCGTCTATTCAGTGTGCATCCTGTTCCCTTCCTCACCATCTTTTTTATTGCAATTTACTGTTTTGTTATTAGCAATTATTTATTCATGGTTTTATTGGCTTTTAATGTTTGTAAGCTGCCCAGAGTTGCCTTGAAGTGAGATGGGCAGCAAACAAATCTAACAAACAAACAAATAAAGGCACATGATCATTGGCAAGCAATAGGCAATAAGTAACCATGTATTCACATCCCTGGTAGAGGATGGCCCTGAAAGTGGAATCATTACAGGTAGTCCTCCAGATATGTTCGTAATGGAGCCTGTCCAGTATGGTCACAAGTCATCTGCCATTAAGTGAGACGGCTTCACTTAATGACCTCCATCCCATTCTCCCTAATGTGACTGTTAAATGAATGCATGGTTCATTAAGCAAAACACAGGGTGCCTTAAGGGTGGGGAAGACCCTTGAAGGCCTAGCACAGGCCCAGGGCCCACCTGTCCTAGAACTCCCAAGGCCTCCCCCACCACCCCATGACACCTGTGCTCCACTTCTTTTCCCTTGGCCTGCAGGCCTTTCCCTCACCCACCAGTCCTCACAAGCTTTTCCATTCCCCACTGAATCCCCCCCACATCCTTTTGCCGTCCTCCCTGATCCCCACAGATTTTAGGTCTGATTCCCTCCTCACCAAGTCCTCCATCTTCCTCCTCACTTTCTTTTTTTTGTAAGAGTTTTTATTGATTTTCCCCCATATATTCAGTAATAATTTTTCAACCAACGTGCTGAGTTTACATTCGCTAATACATATTTAATTCCTAATCCTTTATTCTTTCCTCTAGCCATCGATAAAATAAGTCCCAAGTTTGGTAATATTCCGTTTCTTCTTTTTCTTTCAGTCTCATAGTCAATCTATCCATCTCTGCGCATTCTAGTATTTTTTAAAATTATTTCTTCATCTGATAGTATTCCTTCATTTTTCCAGTATTGCACAAATATAATTCTTGCCGCTGCTGTGACATGCAAAATCAAATATAAGCTTTGTTTGTTAGCCTTTTCTGGCATTATACCTAATAAAAAAAGTTTAGGTTTAAAATCTACATATTCTCCCAACATCTTTTCTAGCCAGGTATGTATCTTTTTCCAATAACTCTTTACTTTGTCACATGTCCACCAAACATGGTAGTAAGTGCCTGATTTATGTTTACATTTCCAACATCTATCTGACATGTTTTTAAACATTTTTGCTAGTCTTGCTGGTGGCAAGTGCCATCTATAGAACATTTTATATAATTTTTTTGGGTAGGAAGTTAACATTGTCAGTTTGTAATTTCTTTCCCATAAATTTTGCCATTTTTCTAATTCTATATTATATCCAACATTTTTCACCATCTTATCATTGTTTCTTTAACTTGTTCGCTTTCCACTTTCAAAGTTAATAGAAAATTATACATTTTCTTTTTTCCCCATATATTTTAATGATTTTTTAAAACATAAATCACTTAATAGTTGGTAAATAGTGTGTTCACTGGGTTTACATTTGTAAAGAAAAATAATTAATAATTGGTTTCTATAATCCATAATCCACATAGTACATTTAGTTGATTTCCCCCTTTCCCCAAAATGTCTTCTTTGCAAACCTTGAAATAATACAGTTCTTATTATTTTGATAAATAACAGTTACATATATGATTTTCCCCCCAATGTTCCTAGAAATAATGATCACATCAATCTAATATTTCTTTTCTATCTAATCATTCTGGTTGCCTCATCTTATATCCTGTTTCAGTCCTTATTTAGATCTGTTTCTCTCATAAAGTTCAAAGTATTCTTGCTGGTTAAGATTTTCTCAACTGTTAATTACATTTAAAGATTTAAATCCATTTTTCCCATATAAACCATCTCAACACCTTTACATTTCTTAAAGAATAGATAAAAACAGTAAAGAAAAGGAAAAGAGAGCAAGAGTAAAGAAACATAAAAAGTAAAATACTACTTAAAATATATATTCCTCCTAAGCTTATATTCATTCCCAAAATTTCTTTCTTTTTAACCATGATTAAAAATATATTTAATCTTTAAATATTCCATTTAATGTGTCTAGTGATCTAATCCTTTCACTCTTATTCAAAACATTTTTTCTTTTTTATTCATTATAATTTCTCTATGGAAATCATAGCTGTCAGAATCTTCATCCACCACTAGGTGTCAGCATCTATTTAGTTTTCAATATGAACAATGGTCTTTAAAATGAGAGTCTTAACCATTCAACAATCTTAAACTTGTCCAAAGTTAAATTTTAGCTTTGAAGTTTATAAATTTATTTCACTACTATATATTTTGATCCTCCATATAAATTTTAATTCGCTACTTCCGTTAGTATAAGGGTGGGGCGGAAGTCCCCCTCCTTCACTTTTCGGAGGTATTTTGCTTCTTGGGGATCTTTTCCAGGAAATTAAGTGTATAATAGAAAAGGGAAAATCAGATTCCTCACCCAATTTCAAGCACGCTGTTTACTGTAGTGCTGGTTAGTTCTTTTGGACTCTGGTTGCAAATAGCTTGGGCTGATCGATGAAATACAGCCTTTCTCCTGTTGGGTTAGAAGGCTTTCCCCAAGATGAACGGAATGACTGCTGTTATTCCAGAGTCACCGGGTCACCCTTCTTTCTTTACCGCCTCTCCGGGGCGGCTTGGACCCATTAGGGTCTCCAGGCAGGACAAAATTATACATTTTCTTAATTAGTTTCTCATCAGAAGTTAACAATGTCTTATCAAACACAGTTTGTTCCTTATAAAATCCATACAGTTTAACATCTTTATCATATCTAGCTTGCATTTGTAAATGTGCCCACCATGATAGATTGATACCCTGATTTTCCATTTCTTGTTTAGATTTTAAATTCCCTTCAGAGTTTAGAATATCTCTATATGTCTAGATTTTTTCAAAGTTCACTAAATTTGGGTGTACACATGCTTCCATTGTTGACAACCACCATGGAATTTTCAAATACATTTTATATTTTTATTTTTTCCCATGTTGTTAATAATGCATTTCTTATATAATGATTTTGGAAATATATATGGACTTTATTTTTCCCATACCATAAAAAAGCGTGCTACCCCAATTGTAAATCATGCTCCTCCAGATATAACAGCCTTTTATTTCTAAGAGTTATCCATTCTTTTACCCATGTTAATACAGATGCTTGATAATATAAAACCCACTCTGGTAGACCAAGACCTCCATTTTCATCTTAATTCTAGCCTTCTTCCTCCTCACTTTTCTTTTGAAGATCTCTGGACATCATGTACAGTACAGGTGTCAAACTTGCCACATCATGTGAGGTGATATATCATGACTTTTTTCGCATTTCAGGAGCTGGGGTGGGCTCGTTTTGCTTGTCAAAAGGTTTTCCAAAAGGTGATCATACGACCTTGGGACACAGCAACGGTCCTATGCATTACCCAATTGTCAAGCATTTGAATTTTTGATCACATTATCATTGGCATGCTACCAAGGTCGTGTGAACAATGGTGATAAGTCGCTTTTTTCAGGGCCTTTGTAACTTTGAACGGTCACTAAATGAACTGCTGTAAGTCCAGGGCAATTGTCTGGGTTGTAGCCTCTTGTGCAAACCCGCCCGACAGCCACTCTCTTCGTTGCCGAAGGCCCCGCTACAGAGGAAGCTGCTGCCCTCTTTCCATCTCTTCGCAGAAGCCTCGTCAAGGAGTCAACAGGACTCGCTTCCGGGAAGCGCTTTTGCACCTCTTATTCCAACCGCGCCGTGCGGACAGCGTAAAGTGCAAGAAAAGAGGCAGTACGCGAAGAGACGTTAGGCCAGCGATATGGTTCCCGGCCTCCTCGCTCGTACTCTTCTCCCAGCTCTCCTCCGGTCCCCGTTATGGGGGGGGGGAGAGGAAAAAAAAAGGAGGAAGGGACATACTTTCTCCCCGGGAACGCTGATTGGCCAATACGCATATCCTGAGAGGCGGGGTTTGGCTGCGCCGAGATGACAGGGAGGAGCGCTAAAACACCCGGAGTCGGTGTGGGCGTGGTGTCTCCTTTTCACCCTCCGCCAGCGCCTCGCTTCCCGGTGAGTTTCTTGCTCTTGCTGTTTCCTCACTTACCCTGAGTGGGGAGGGATAATGCAGGGACCCTTACTTAAGGAAGTACTCGGAGTACTCTTTGGGGTGACTCTTCTTGTTCTGGGCTGGGAATTCTGGGAATTGTAGTGGGGCCTACTGGGGAAGTGGGTCATCGGGTTCTCAGCGCTGCAGGGCTCCCACGGCAGCCCCAATTAGATCACTGCATATTTTTGGGGGGATCCGAATTTTATCCTGTGATGCTGACCAGGAACGTGACATGTGGGGAAGGAAAAGTGGTTCGAAAACGTATATTTCCCACTAGATGGATGGGTCTTAAAGTGCCATTAACTGCCTTCTTTGGAGAGGTTATTAAAGTTAATGTTATATGAGCTTTGTGGCAAGGATCTGCATCGTTAGATATATGTCAGTTGTGGTTTAGAAAAGAACCAAAGGCAGAATATCAGCAAAATGAATGCTGAAATTAATTGCACACAGATATTCTTCTCCCTTTATAGCCAAAGTGTACTAGCTCTCATTCTGTAATCAACTAATAAACTTTACTAGTTCTGTTAAATCAATTAGATAAAAATAATGGCAGTATGATAATCTGAACAGCCTGAGACAGGAATTGAAGACTAGTATTGAATACATAAACTTGAAAAGTTGGGAAATTACTATTCTGAAAATATTTTTAATACCCTGCATTCTTTGTGTACACCTCTTAGTATCTACAGAGCCCTCTGTCCCACCTGGCATCTTTATTTACAAGCATGCCTCAAGATCAGAGGTAGGCAACCTTGGCTCTTTTATGACTCCTGGACTTCAGCTCCCAGAATTCCTGAGCCAGCTGACTCAGGAATTCTGGGAGCTGAAGTCCAGGAGTCATAAAAGAGCCAAGGTTGCCTACCCCTAATCTGGATCCTACATCCTACATCTTAATTTTTAAAAAGTGCAGAGGAAAATGCAGCCTCCTATATGATTTGTATTGACAGGAATATCCCTGCATCTGACAAAAACCCATTGGCATTCTAAAGATAAAGATGGTGAGAAAATGCAGGCTTGGGCTTGGAAATTTACTTATCTGTCACCTGTCAAAGTAGGGAAAGCTACCCGAGAAATGGTAGACAACATAACAGCAGGGTTAGAAGCAAGAAATAAGTTAAAAGTTTATGGATTTGTTGTCTGGAAAATGAGTGTTTTGCAGCAGGCTATTTGTATCTGTGCGTAACGTCTCTATAGGAGATCAGCTCACATGGAAGGGGACTTTACTCAAATAAGTAAAGTCTTTTTGAGTCAAATTGATTGCCGAAGGCGACATGGAGTTCTTGGCAATCATGTGGAAGTAGTTTGGCACTTTTCTGGAGTATTTTTTTCAGATTTCCTAATAATTCTATAAATTCCCTATTGAACAACCTTCCTTCAGGTTTCATGAAGGCCTTTTTAAACTTACGAATAGAGGTGAATATATATGCCCCAGGGTAATGTTGCAGGATCCAATCTGGGTAGGTCACTGGGACCAGAGGTTTAGTCTTCCAAGCTTTTGTACTCCTGCTGAAGCCCATCTTCAGGGAATTTCTCTCTAACAGAGTGTGTGTTTTTGGACTTAGCCTCCAAGCCCCAGATTAACTATCTACTAATAAGAACAAATGTTGGCTTCAGATTCTGGCATGTACAGTATGTTAAAAATGGGTGTAACTGCGGTGGTTTATTGTTGCCAGTGAATTGACTCAACATCATATCCACAGCAAAAAATGGAATGAAGATCCTAAGCTGTGTTTTATAATTCAAGGCAGGGAAGTTAATTCAGAATTGTTAATTGTTGGCACTGAAGTTGCCAACATTATTTCGAACCCTCCCTTCTGAGCATTCCACAATTGTTTGTTCTGCAGTTTAGCAGCTGTCCTATCCTTTCCAAACCAATACCCAAGTGACAAAATGCCCAGCTGTAATCCTATGATTTCAATGTCAGATCACATTTACCTGCTGATTTCCATAAATCATAGCAGATCATAATATAGTAGTTCAACCTATGACAATAGAAAAGCCTGGGAACGAACAAGTTGACCTCTTCCAGTTAGTCTAAACCAGAGGTCCCCAACCTTTTGGGCACCAGGGACCGGTTCCATGGAGAGAGGTTTTTCCACGGCCCGGAGGGTGCATGGTTTTGTGTGCCTCCTGCATCTCACGGATGGGGCTTTGCTTGTTTGTGCGGACCAGTTGCTAGCGTGCTGCAGCCCGGTACCGGTCCACAGACTGGGGGTTGGGACCCCTGGTCTAAACCTTGTGCCTGCAGAGTCTGTACAGCCCAAGATAGCAACTGAAGACTAGTATTGAATGCATAAACTTGAAAAAGGATGGAAAATTACAATTCTTAAAGTATTTTTAAGGTCAGAACTGTTTTGTTTGCTATTTCTCGTGCTGGTCTTTAGATGTTTTTATTGCAGAAGAATGACAGTGTGTCTCAATCAGCATCTTTTGGGTTCCTCTTTTTAATAAATTTTCCATTTTTAGCATTAATAGGGAACTGACTTTTATGGAGGTAGGTGAATTGTGTAACCTGTCACGAGACTTGTGAAATGCTGCCTCCAAAAAGAGAGAGGGAGGGAGGGAGGAATAATCCTTCTGGAGAAAAGGTAGCTTCACCACTGAATGACATTCTCTTTGAATAAAAAATGAACAAGTGTTTTATCACTTGCTTCTATTTTATCTTCTGAAAAGCACCACAGTCCTGGTGATTCTGATCCCAAAGCTTCATTTCAGCTCAGTTTGTACTCCATTTTTTTCTCTTAAAAACCTCCATTTCACATTCACCATTTCTTGAACTATTTTTGGAGTTGTACACTGCTCTATACTTTAATTATCCCCCTTTTTTGGGGGGGGGGTGCTTTTACAAATGTGGAGATTTTCCAGAGCAGTGCATAAATGGTGCTGTATGTCACAATTACAATTCGAGATGTGAACTTGCTGTTTCTATATAGAATTAGAATTAGGTCGGATAATGGAGGGAAAAAAGTACAAGGACCAGGCAGGATCAGATCAAAGTTCTCTCAGTGCTGTAAAGGTGAATAAGCAGAATATGACACCAATAATAGATCCCTATGCCCTGGAATTGAGTTCAGCTGTTGTTGACTGATGGGAGACTTTTTATAACAATGTGAAAATAGCTTGTTTTTGCTTTTTTACTTGCTGGGTTTTAAACTTCCCAGTCTAGCTTTCATGCGTGAGGTTTCCTAAGGGTTTCATGTTCATGTAATTAGATCCAATGTATCTTTTAAAAATTCAACCAAGCTATATACAAGTTGCTTTTTTAAACTACCATATTTTCCAGCGTATAAGACGACTCGGCGTATAAGACGACCCCCAACTTTTCCAGTTAAAATATAGAGTTTGGGCTATATCAGGGGTAGGCAACCCAAAACACTCAAAGAGCCACTTGGACACGTTTCCCACCGAAAACAAAACACTGGGAGCCGCAAAACCCTTTTGATATCTAAAATGAAGATAAGACTGCATATATCCTTTTTTACCTTTATGATATATGTGTGTGTGTGTGTGTGTGTGTGTGTGTGTGTTTGTGTGTGTATATATAAAATAAAGGTAAAAAGATATATGCAGTGTTATCTTCATTTTAGATGTCAAAAGGGTCTCTCTCTCTCTCTGTCTCTCTTTCCTCTCTCTCTCTTTCCTTTCTTTCCTCTCTCTCTCTCTTTCTTTCTCTTTCCTCTTTCTCTCTTTCCTCTAACTTTCTCTCTCTCTCTCTTTCCTCTCTTTCTCTGTCTCTCTTTTTCCTCTTTCTCTTTCCTCTCTTTCTCTTTCCTCTTCCCTCTCTTTCTCTTTCCTCTTTCTCTTCCCTTTCCTTTCTCTTTCCTCTCTCTTTTCTCAATCTTTTTTCTCTTTCCTCATTTTTTCTCTTTCCTCTCCCCCTCTTTCTTTCTCTCTCTCTTTCCTCTCCTTCTCTCCCTTTCCTCTCTTTTTCTCTTTCCTCTCTCCCTCTCTCTTTCCTCTCCCTCTTTATCTCTTTCTCTTTCCTCTCTCTTCTCTTTCTCTTTCTTTCTCTCTCTTTCCTTTCTTTCTCTTTCCTCTTTCCTCTTTCTCTTCCCTTTCCTTTCTCTTTCCTCTCTCTTTTCTCAATCTTTTTTCTCTTTCCTCATTTTCTCTCTTTCCTCTCCCCCTCTTTCTTTCCTCTCTTTCTCTCTCTCTTTCCTCTCCTTCTCTCCCTTTCCTCTCTTTTTCTCTTTCCTCTCCCCCTCTCTCTTTCCTCTCCCTCTTTATCTCTTTCCTCTCTTTCCTCTTTCCTCTCTCTTCTCTTTCTCTCTCTTTCTCTCTCTTTCGTCTCTTTCTCTTTCCTCTCTCTTCTCTTTCTCTTTCTTTCCTCTAACTTTCTCTCTCTCTTTCCTCTCTCTTTCCTCTCTCTTTCTGTCTCTTTCTCTTTCTCTTCCTTTCTCTTTCCTCTAACTTTCTCTCTCTTTCCTCTCTTTCTCTTTCTCTTCTCTTTCCTCTCTTTCTCTTTCCTCTTTCTCTTTCCCTCTCTCTTTCTCTCTTTCTCTTCTCTTTCTTTCCTCTTTCTCTTTCCTCTCTCTCTTTCCTCTTTCTCTCTTTCTCTTTCCTCTTTCTCTCTCTCTCTTCTCTTTCTCTTTCCTCTTTCTCTTCTCTTTCTTTCCTCTTTCTCTCTTTCTCTCTCTCCCTCTCCCTCCAGGTTAGGAGAGAGAGAGAGAGAGAGAATGAAAGGCAGACGGCGCCGAACGGGCAGGGAGGGGGAGCAGGACAGGAGGCAGCGGCTCCAGTGGCGGCGACGGTGGCATGGCAGCGGCCACTGCAGCATCGTCGGGAGTCCACGCCGCCCCCAGCCTGGCCGCCGCATCCTCAGCTGAATGGGCAGGGAGGGGGAGCAGGACGGGAGGCAGCGGCTCCTGGCCGCCGCCCCCATCGCGTCCTCAGCTGAATGGGCAGGGAGGGGGAGCAGGACGGGAGGCAGCGGCTCCCGGCCGCCGCCCCCATCGCGTCCTCAGCTGAATGGGCAGGGAGGGGGAGCAGGATGAGAGGCAGTGGCTCCCGGCCGCCGCCCCCATCGCGTCCTCAGCTGAATGGGCAGGGAGGGGGAGCAGGACGGGAGGCAGCGGCTCCTGGCCGCCGCCCCCATCGCGTCCTCAGCTGAATGGGCGGGGAGGGGGAGCAGGACGGGAGGCAACGGCTCCTGGCCTCCGCCCCCATCGTGTCCAGGGAGGGGGAGCAGGATGGGAGGCAGCGGCTCCCGGCCGCCGCCCCCATCGCGTCCTCAGCTTATATAAAGGAATAAAATAGAATACTTTACTTTTACTTTACTTTACTTTATTTTTGATTTATATCCCGCCCTTCTCCCAACAGGGACTCAGGGCGGCTCACAACATATTTAAAACAGAAACATACAGTCCCCACCCAATAAAACCAATTAAGAACAAATATTTCAAAGTTGTGTTATTTAAAATATTCTAAAAAATGAACCCGATTTAAAATCCTCCCTAGGCCAGGC